GCTTGCTAGCAGCTGTTGAGTGGACTCAGTCTTTCCATTTTGGAGGTGGTTTTTGTCTTTCAACGACTGAACTCTTCCGCTTGGTGGTCTAAATTTTTCTGACTAGCCTCCAACTAAGTTCTCTTTTGAATTTGGACGAATCGCCTCCGATGGCTGTTTGCGTATTATTTGACAAATCCGTGCGCTGACAGTCCAACAGTTTTGGACCAGTGCCAGTATTTCACCACTTCCAAAAATTGTGCAGGTCACATGGTGACGAAATCCATAAAATGGCCCTCCTCCAGTTCCTGAGATAAGGAGACCACAACGGGTACGGAGACACTAGTGTGTCGACACGAAATGTGCCTAATGATCCATAATGCACGAATATTATCTGACTAAGATATGGCCAAAGATGTCCTTCATAAGTGGCAGGCAGATGAGCACTGTAGCATTCCAACGGTTTCTTTGAACCTTCTATGTTCCCTTGTCCCCTGTCCCCCGTTGCAATAGAGTAGGTAGGGGAACCGAACGAAATCAGTGATCAGGCTGCAGGTTATTGCCTACGGTTCTAACGCATACCTCCCGCGTATGTTGTTGTTATTCAGTTGATACCTTTATTTTTAATCGTGAGAAATCACAACCATCTTCCCTTAAACAAGGCCCATGGTATGCGCGATGAAATGTCATTTTCGGTTTCAAACTTGCTTGACGATAATATTACGTTCTGTATTAATATAGTGTTTTGTGATGTTTTTCTGGTCGACTCAATTTTATTTGAAAATCCGTTGATGAAGAGAGATTTTTTATCGAATCATTGTTTCTTTAGTACATTCTTTCTTATGGGTCCTATACGCCAGATGAAGAAAATGATTGATCCGAACCGATGGATAGCTTCCGTCATAGCTGTTGGTATGATTATTCTGACGCTGTTGGCGGGGCTCGTCGTAAGTTGTTATGTCATTTATAAGCTGTGTCGCTTTTCTGGGAATCATCATAATTAGTGAATTTTTAGGTAAATACCTCATTTAATATACTTAAAATCGATCACTTACTGAAGTTATACTCAGACACTGCCCGTTTTCTTCCAGATTGCAATCCTTTACTCGCTACTGTTTTTGTGGTTACTTCTTCCTGTTCGCCTTCTTCTTTCCTGTTTAATTTTTCTTGCTTTTCTTTTCATCTTTTCTAACCTTGTCTCTCAGTTAAGAGTTCGCTGTCGAGCTGTTTTCTTTCCTGTTCTTCAATCGCCGTTCAAGTCTTTGACAGCTTGCACAACTTCACGCAACATCGCTCCATTTTCGTTAGTCTTCACCTTTTATTCGTTGTTATTATGAACCAATTGACGTGTCTCAAATAAGGCATGAATTAGTCTTTATTTTTATTGGATTTGTTTCGCCCGATGGCATCTGAGAGATCCAGTTTACATCTACTTTCTTCCGTGGCTTCATGCTATATTTGGCACTTCGATGTCTGGCGTACGTTGATATAATCGTACGTAATGGGTCATTCAGTCGATCAGTGTTGCACTACACTAGTGCGCTACAATGCAGTGCACTACTCTAATACAGCAAAGAAAACAAGACGTCGTAATTTTCCACTGCACCTTGTAACGGTCGACCGTCCCGTATGGATTTGCTGGGTGACGGATCTTTTCTTCAGCCGCCCTGAGAATTGATGCCATAAGAAAATGGCGACGCACTAGATGATGGATAGCGATGTACTTTTATTTCAAGACGGCTTCAAACCAGACACGTACTCAGAAGTAATAAACTTGAAAGACGTGACGTGGACTGTCCTTTTTATGCTCTTGCTGCTCCGAAAAAGCCAATCTGCATGCCTTCGATCCTGTTCCAGAAACTCATGGCCATTCTGACATTTTCGTTCAAATTCTGACGCTGTTCTGCACATCATTGCTATGGTTTTCTTCTCTACTCTCGAATATTCTGTCGATCTAAATATCTGCCACGTTCTGCATGTGATTCCTGTCGTTCACTATGGGAATTTCTTATGAATGATTTATCGATACCCAAACATGTAGTGCCTGTCTGTAGTGATGATATCATTCATTGAGATTTATCTCTTCAAATGTATTCACCTGACAAAGCGGTCGTTTTCCACGCTTGTACTTTATTCGTTAAAATAACTTTTTCGTGAACCCTATAAATCTAAATGGAACGACATTGCAAATCAAAGTTGACGGGTATTATTATGATGATGAAATTCTAACGTTGAAAAATTGTTTTTCTTAACCGTTTGAGAATTATATTCCCAGAAGCTTTATCCAGCACCACCCTAACCATTGGACAGATTGTACGTAACATAGCTCTGCGGGATAAGCTGTTGTAAAGATTGTCGTGATAAAGGATGAAAAAAGCTTGTTAGCATCTATACAACGGCTTCGTAAACCTGCAGGGCATATTTTCTTGCCTCTGAATGTGTTTTTGCCCTACATAAGAAAATGCATTTTCTAGCTGTTTCTCGTTTCTCTTCCTTCTGTATCTTCCTCCAGAATTCTGTCTCTACACTGTACGAGTCTGAGAATGCGCTATGCCTTTGTCTGATGTGCCTGTTTGTTTTCTTTTCTACCTTATTCTGGTAATAAATACGATTGTTCATTTAGTGGAAGAATGGCGGCCTTTGTCTTTTGTTTGTGATTTTACAATATCTCGCAATGACTTGGTATTCCCTGTCTTATATCCCTTATGCCAGGTACTGTTATGCAAATGACTTTTCTGACCACGATTCTAATCGTTTCTCACTGTAGGAGTGCCGTTAAGTCGTGCCTTGCCTCTTGTGTCTAATGAACGCCGTGCTTAGACATTGCTGCCTCTATTTCACTAGTACCTTGATTGGTTGGGATATTTCCGACTAAAAAGTCCATTTTCACATTTATTTTTTTGTGTATTTATTGTTTTTTGAAATTTAAATTGTGTCATTCAATGAACTCTTGATAGTAAAGAATTCTTTTAAAATTTCGACTAATTCAAGTGCAAGATCATAAATTCTGTTTATACAACTCGCGTTGACAGTAATTGACAAATTTATTTTTTATAGACTAATTAGTAATTCTATACATTTGGAGGCACAAATCAACAGTATTTCGAAGACATTCATTTTGCTCCGTTAGTCATTCCATCGGTCTTTCTGAGGTATTCGAGGTGAAAGTCGAACAGGGTCTGAAAAGTACTATATTTAATCATGATTTTGAAAAGATTATGCTTGTATTTACTTTCCGGCTTTCACACGTTCAAATAAGGCTGACTTTCTAAGTACTTATTCATGCTTGTCTTTTATGATTTATGCACTGATTGTAGGCACATTTGTTTAGCGTTTTTCTAGTAAGTATTAATGTTTATGTGAATCGTTTAAACTTCATTCACTAATGTACTCACATAAATTCGCAGCATCTTAAATTTACTTACGGCGAAGGACACTGTAAACCTATATGTGTATGTACATTTCTGGTTAATAATAATTTATGCAAACGTGATTTCTCCCTTATACGAGTCTACAAGAAAAGCCAGCCATATAAATCACATGACAGACAACCGATAGCGCCAGGAATTAACATCTGCGTTCCGCTGCCCCCCAAACATCGAATTAATCGTCCAAGAACACGCTAGGACAATCAGATTGTCAAGTTGCCTGACGAACGGTGGAGGCGGAATACAACAAGTAGACAACAGACAATACCGGAAGGACATCGACTCGTGTTTATGACGTACTCATAACGATGACGAGTCGGATAGCGGTTTAGGACGGATATTGTATACTATTTATTTCATACAAACGGCAGAAATGAGGTTACTTTGAAGGGTTACCAGTGGGACGATGCTAAGTAAGGTATGCAATCCATAATATTCTCCCTCGCATGAGGCCCATTAAAACTGAAAAATCATGTGTGATTTCTTGTGAGATGAGAAGTCGCACAACCGCACTGTGGGCTATTAAAGCACATATGTAACGATATGTAACGCATTGGAATAATGTCTGTAGAACTTGTTTGGCTAGTGGATGGTTGGAACCATTTCAAAAGCTGTACTCCCTTATCTGGGAGAAAAGACTGGACTATAAATTAGAAATATAGCATCTAATAAGAAAGCTTAAATATTCCAACAACACGGAACAGTCAATCAACATAGCCTTACGAATTGCAAACGCTAAACAGACTGTTATACCTTTGAAGCGTTGTTCATAACCAATGCCATTCAGCAGTAGTTCCTATGTGATCAGTTTCCCGAGACGGTTGGCAACTGCGTAATTCTTTACACTTTATTTCCACAGTGCTAAGCTTTATTGTTCTGCATATCTTTGGGACTTTACTGAACATATTGTATTATGATCATCGCTATCAGGGCTACTCTGTTATTCTAGAGCATGTGTTCTTCTATTTCAATGACAGTGGAAGCGGTACAATGTGATGCTTTCTTTCTTAGTCGGTTTAAGTACATGTTCAAATGTACCATTGCATGGTCAACAACTGATGGCTTAAGCGTATTCTTTTTTAATGTAGTTTACACATCGGAAATGGTAAATGAATTCTTTATGCGGGAGAAGATAGCTTGTTTCGGAAGGTCAAAGGGATAGCAACACTTTAAACTTTAATTTACTGACATGCTTTAGAGATATTGACATCTGACACTGAACTCGTCCCGTTTCAAAGACCGACCGACGAACCCAGAAGTAAGTCGATTCTTCTCACTATTTATACTCTTTCTAATTGTACAAGTTGAAGTCTTTCAGCCCTTGGAACGTAACGTAGCTTTACAAGAGATTTTTGTGAGTTTGTCATTTTAAAATGATTCTGGAAAAAGTCTTATACAATCTTGGAGAAGAATGCAAATTGCTAATCAAGGAGCAAATGGTATCGGCAGTAATTAAAACGGAAAATAACAGGGACTTGAAAGCAGCAAGATCTTCTTATGGCTTAAAAGAGATCAAATGTAATAAAGTTTATCAACTTTACATTTGGTTGTTTTCAATAATATGCTACCTCAACGAATGAAAGCGAAATGAATGGAAACGTCATGTAAAGTTCTGTCCCATGAATGATTCTTTTCCCATACTTCCGCCGAGTAACTGGTGCGGAACATTCATTTTCATGGGCAAAGAATTTTCTCGATGAATTTCTTGCTGCCATCCGCGGAATCAGAAGAACTTCAAGTCATCCGCGGAGCATGCAGATATGAGCCTTAGAATTTACTTTTAGCTACAAATATTTATGTACCTTCATATTCAGGGCTTTTCGAGTTGGAAAAGAAAGTTTGCCTAAAGAGTAGATCATTAAAACCTTAGTGAACTTAATAAATCTTACATCGTTCAATAATATCTCATGGAAACAGTTCTATTTCGCTTTGGTCAGATCTCCCTTATTTCATTCCAAAGCAGTTAAACAGACTGTAGATAAATCGAGTTTTGCTCGAAACGTATAACGTATATGTTTCAGAGGTCAAAAATTTTTTTAAAATGTTCTAAGCGCGCTATCATATTCTTGGTTGTTTCAACGATTCATGGTTTGGGACATCAAATACAGTAGATGGTAAGCAGCTTAATGCCAGCATGATTCATTGCATTGTTCGCAGCATTATCAGGGTTGGATTCAGACCGCCATGATATTGTCATATAAATTCTGCAAATACCAGAAATGATGGGCCGTCAATTATTTTTTACACGCTTGGTGCCAACACGAAGTACCTATTGAGAATGGCAGCGTTCCGATTTCGCCTTCCGCAGACAATACCTTTCCACCCTAAACAATACCTATCTGAGGTAACGATAAAATCATTATTTTTCGACCACTGATGCTTAATTTACGCGGCGGCAAGTAAACTCACTTACTTTACAGCAATACTGTAGCAGTGTACGGCAAATGACAATATTTACACCGCGGTTGACCGAAACATATCACTGTCCCTCCCCCGGCTTCTAGTCATCTACAGAGAGTTTAATGGAGCGACGGCTGCACGATAATTAATCGCGTGCAATTCATGAGGTGCTTGCGCG